CGGCACTTCATCCACTTTGTTTTTACTGCTGAATCTTCAACAGCGGATCCCTGCAAAGAAAAGAAAAAGATATCTGGCCAAAGACTAAGAGATGCCTATTGATGATTGGAATACAAGCCCTCTTATAATGGGCATGCAGCAAGAAACCATGGTGACTAAATTGGTTCATTCCTCTGCAGGGAATTTTATTTAGAACCCTTTTCTGTAGCCTTGTCCTGGAAAATAAAACTAGCTAGTCCCTCTGATCTGATGTAGCACTTCAGCCAATAATGCATGACCAAATATTACTTCATTCAAAAACATCTGCAGTGCTCCTTATTGAAACATGTGCACTGTTTCTAGTGATGATGAATGTAATTAACAGAGTAAACGAAATGTTAATTAGTAATCAAGATTCAAGAATATTGAATAGCTGACAGGTGAAGTAAAAGTAATCACGGGCAGGGTAAAGTTTCACACTGTCACTACATTGAATGGTAAAATGAGTAATAGCAGATCAGTTATTTACCCTCAAAACAAACTGAGATTTGGCATTCTGTATCGTTACCAAGTTGAAAATGACAAGGTTGCCCGTGTTAAGCGCAACATACGACGAGCTGCCTTCTGACGAAATCACCTCCTAAAGCGTTTCTCTGACCTCTTCTGAACTGCCTACACCTCATTACCTAGTTGTTGGGTACATGGGTGCAGCTGGTCTCACAATCCGATCAAACTGATTTGCACAAGTAGGATATATATATATATCCATCATAGTTGTGTGAAGCATTCTGACTATCACTAGCTGGTCAAGTATAGGCTTCTAGTTCTAGTTCTAGTTCTAGCTTGTGAGGGCTGAAATAGATTGAACCCAGGCGGCCTCTAGCTCTAGGAGCCTCCAGTGTCCAAGTGGTTCATAACATTGCTCATTAGTACTATTGGAAACTAGTTATAATAAGTTTGCAGATTCTGATGTCATTCATGATAAACAAGCTATGCTAATTTACCATCATTGAAATGAATGGTCTTGACTCTTGAAAGTTGAGTAGAATCCTTAGGCTTGTTTTTTTGGAAATATTCAGCTACAAAATCTAGGTTGGCTGGACTAGAGTTTGATAGTTTAATGCACTTAGCTGGGCTATGGTACTTCGACTCATTGTTTTTTATTTAAAATCTTGTCCCATCAAGAGATCCAACAAGTATTCAAAAAGTAGCACTGTTAATTACGTCTTGTTCAAATGTTTCTAAACTTGGCACTGCACCAAACTACTACAACTCATCATCAGTCATCATCTATCATATGTAGGTGCCCGTTGTACTCTGAGCTGCGTTTGGTAAGGTGCAAAAGCCATATTTATTAAACTCACCACAACTTTTCAAAATATTTAAAAACTCATAAAGTTTTTATTTTCTAAAACTCATTTTTGATTAGTGCACTGTTAATGATTCTTAACAGAGGTGTTCATGTCAGCATAAATAACAATTTTTATGATTAAATTACCCTTGAATGATGAGTTAGAGGAAAAATGGTCTTTTCAATTTTCAATTTCTTGATTTTTTTTTATTTTTAGTGTTTTGTTATAATTTCCAATATTTTTTATAATTTCTGTTTTTTTACATTTTTTCTATTTTCAACAATCTATAAACTTTCCTGTATTTTTTTATTTATTTGCAATTTTTGTGTTTTTCTATAATTTTTGGTGTCTTTTCTACAATTTTTATTTTGAGTGTTTGGTTCCATTTACGTTTATTAATGGTGCCACATAGGCGCCATCTCAGCATTTTCTCTCTCTTGCACTTATGCATACATCGAAAATGTAAAAAGTGAACTTTGGTTTTTGTGCATGCCAGCCGTTTGTAGAAGTTGTTTTTTGAAGCTTCCACAAATGGTCAGGCGTTTATTCAATATTACGTTGAAGTAGCGCCTAATTGCACCTAGTTGTCATAAATGGCTGCAATTATTGTACTTCTCGGTTTTACCAGCAAATAAAGTACAAACGTTTATTTAATAAACATAAACGGAACCAAACACATACTTCTGATTTTGTTTTTCAATTTCTATAGTTTCTATAATTTGAAAATAATTTTTTATTTTCTTTGCAATCTCTATAATTTTTTATATTTTTTGTAATTTCTATGTTTTTTTGTATTTTATATTTGAAAATATTTTTTTTAAACTTTTTCTTTTTCATGTCTAAATATTAAAATGGTAATATATTAACACCCGTTAGTTTGTTTAACATCAATTTAATGACATGGTGAGTTTTAGACATTTTGAAAAGTTGTAGTGAATTTAAGAGAAATGCTAAAAACTCATGGTAAGTTTTAGATAGTTTTCCATAATAATGTATATACATGTAAATGCAAATTTATACAAAAAGTAATTTATCTATATTATATTGGTGAACTTTGAGTGCAAAATATGATTCTATTCCTCTTACCAAATAACGGTAAAACCGAACCTGAACACTTGGGGTACTGTATTTACGTTCTTACCAAACACGGCCCTAAGGGTGAAATGTACGCTTCCTAGGGAGACAAGTGGGGGAATTCTGTGAGCTGGTAGGTAGGCGACAAGTGGGTCGGTTCTTTGAAGTGTACAAATACAATATTGCTCACACAGGGGTATTTTGGATATTTCCTGTATCACATATATTTGAATATAGACGACAAGTGAGATACAACGTCTGCACTGGGGGTATTTTGGTCATTTTTCCAGGGTAGTAATTTTAGTTGACATAGTGATAAAATTTTCTAAGCGGTTGCCTGTTACCAAACCACTTTAGTTCTTGACTTGGCTGTGTTTGTGGTTGGCTGATCCCTTGTTTTTGTGCTGTACTATGGTTCTGGTTTTACATGATCCAAGATAATCTGCTTACATGATCAAAGAATCATGATGGACACGTTTACTAAAGTGGATGGCCCCTACTCAAGAGTGAGGTTCTTTAACCTTTCAGCTTTTTTTTTTTTAGGATCATCAACACAAATGAAGGAAAACGATTGATGGATTAGTTGATTGACTGATTGAAGCGGTCGTTAATAATTGGACAAAACAAAGGACCCATCATCCAACGATCCAAAACAATTTACAAGAAAGCAGTTTCTGAACCACAAAACATTACCGTATTTTTCCCTTGAAAGCTCAAATTTGCATACATTACAGATAGGCTTATTCTCATTGTCTGAAACAAACCCACACTCTAGACTCTACTTTGTTCTCACCCTCAGACATCCTTAGCAACTCAATCATAGATGACAGCGTTTATGCTTCTACACTGTAAAAGGAAAGCCTCATTTCTATATTATTCTTTTGTTAATGCTTTAGGCAGTGAAGAATGAGAATTTAAATTAGGACACCCCACACGGCCACACTCCCACAGCCACAGGATACAGTCCTGAAGCAGCTTCTAAACCCCTCAACGAGTGGCAGTGAGCCGTGGGCAATGATGGTGTTCCCCAATTATGTGAATAGTTGTAGAAGCATACGGGTAGTCTCACTTTCGTGGGTTCTTATTTATTTGTGAATTCTGATTTCGTGATACCCTCTGTACCTTACTTTTCGACACCAACTTTATGTCAATTATTAAGTTGGCCCAAACACTACACTATTCATTTTCTATGTAACTTTCTATTACCTTTTATCTCATCAAAGCTACCTTTTTGAGCTTCTTTCTTTTTCTTGTCTGGTGAAAAAGTAATTCATGTTTCCTGATGAGACATATTTGGACACTTAAAGAAGGGAGAGAGAAAGAGAGAGAGAGAGAGGGGGGGGGGGGGGTGGCTTGTAATTTGTTGGACGCGAGGAGCGTCATGAGTCTGGGGTCCCCCTAAATAAAAGAAGAATATTAAGCATTTGATCGTCATAAAAATATTGATATTCAGAGAAGTGTAGGATCTAAGACATCCTTTACCTACCGTAGAAATGGATATGGGTTTAATGATCTGTTGGAGCTGATATCATGGAATGGAAGATCAATTCATTTTGGGGGACCAGTTCATTGATCATCTGGCCTGCAACACGTGGCAAGATATTTGGGCTTCAGGCTGCATTTAAAGAGGCTCATTTGTTGATCAGATGGCAAAAAACTGAAGTGGTGTTCCCTTTTTTTTTTTTTCTTGTTTGACAAAAGGGAGAAATTAGAAGTAAATTAACTGCAACGCCAGGCTTGACTAGGGCCAAAAAAGAAATCCCTAGGCCAAGGGGACCAGAGCCAAGAAGGATGACTAATGGACCACGCCTATCTCGGTTTTACACAAAATCAATTTGCCACGTGGCAAAAAACCAGAGACAAGAGGGATGACTCATCGACTAATTAACAGCAGGAGGACCAGAGCAAAGATGGATGACTAATTAATTGTCTACGCCTATCACGGCTTTACCCAATTCAATTTGCCACGTGGCAAAAAAAATTCAAATTATTCTCTATATTTTTTCGGGATATGACCATGACTTAAACATACTTGGCTAGTTGGCTATGTCAACAACCCCGCGTAACCTAAAGATTGAAATTCAACAACGGGGTTCATTTGTTTAATAAGAAATTTCCGTTAAATTGGACTATCACGCATACCAATTCTGATTGATTAAAGTCTAACCTTTCCTGCTAACCTTATTGTGACCAACTCCAATTACAAAAAAGTTTAACTGTTGAAGAATAAAAAATTGTGAAAAGACCATGCTAGCGCCACGGAGGCACGGAGGCCTTCCATTACAAAACGACAAAATTTTATACCTCCTCAACCCCGTATTTGTATTCGTATAGAAAGAACTCTCCGTGTACCCGTGTACCTGGTTACGGACCTCCTAAATCCCTAACCCCGTGATGCGAGCATTGCTCATTTGCTCACAAGTAAACCGCTTGGACTCCGCGTGGTATTTTCGAAAATCTAAAGAATATCCATGTCGTTTTATTTGAGCCCATGCCCAACGACTCTAATTTCTAAAGCCGAAACGCTCTGTTCCGGCTAACAACCAACGCTTGCCAATCGGCGATCAATCAACCAGAACCCCCTCAAGTCTCAACCACGGTTAAAAGTCCTTAACCTTGGTTAACTCTCTGCCTGACTATTTAAAAGCCCAAAACAAAAGCCCACCCTCCCAAAATACCATTTCACTTGCAGCCAACGAAAACAGGACCAGAACACTCCCCCAACCCCAGACAAGATCAAGAACGGAGAGACGAAGCAAAGCCAGAGGAGATAACGAATAGCGAACAGGAAAGAAGAACCAGGGAATCAACAATGGCAATGTTCATCGATGATGAAGAAGTCTGGAAATGTCGGAAGCACCCTTCCAAGCGTCGAACTACTGGTGTCTGCCCCGTATGCCTCAGAGACCGCCTCATCAGTCTCTGCCCCGACTGCGCCAACGTGCGCCCCTGCACTTGTTGTCCTACTTCTTCCTCTTCCTCCTCGTCATCCTCGTCGTTCTTCTCTCGCTCGTCATCCAAGTCTAGCAACGGGATCGGAGCCATCGGCCGCATGTCAAATCTCATTGACAGTGAACCCGCCTTCCGACGGTCAAGATCCGCCGCCTTTCCATTTCTCCGGCGAAGGCTGGACGATAAGGATGACTCAGCAGCCAGGCTTCCCCCCTCGGGGCCCCGGAGCAGGCCGTCGTTTTGGTCGGTTTTCAAGGGTAACAAGCCGAAGAAACCGGACGAAGTCAAACAAGTTGCACAAGAAGACGAGATGAAGAAGAAGATGATGAGGTCGAGGTCCGTTGGGTTCTCTCTTTACCCACGTTCCGTCGGCGCTGGTTCCGGCGGTGATGAGAGATTGAAAGCTAAGGGTTGGTATTTCCCGAGCCCGATGAAGGTTTTCCGGCATCATAAGACGCCTAAGGTTGTTCAAGAACGGTCGCCGCTGTGCAGGGGCTGAGGCTCATCATCATCAAGAAAATCAAGAAAATAAACATGAAAATATCTGTATGTTTTATTTTCTTTATTTTCTTCTTGTTAATTTTTTGATAAAAAAATTTAATTTTTGTTATTAAGGTGAGAGATTCCAGATTGTAAATGTTCTCTTCGCCTCTTCGATACATCATTAACAAAGGTTTGGATTTTTTTTTCTTATTTTTCTTAATTTATTTTCATCATTTATATTTTTAATTTATCTTAATTTTCTGTATAATGACGAAGATACCCTCAGGCCCTTTTAACGCTTAACGAACTGACCGTCCTGACTACGTGCTGGCTTCAATCCTACTCCTACGTGGTATCCAAAGTATCCACCCAGATTGAATCCGAAGATCAAATCACTTGCATGTGCGCCACGTTTACAGAAGTGATGACGACTATGCATAGTTAGGTTTTTGGATTATCAGATCACTAATTCATTTATCCTGTTGGCTGTTGATCTATCTGTTCCATTGCCATCATACCATCAATTATGGGATACGACGGAAGGTATTGGTCGCGATCAGCCATCAGATGGTTACCGCAAATGCGGGTCCCATTGTGGAGTGCACTTTACCAATTAAAATTGGTAATGCGCCTATACTGTTCTACATTGGAAATACCGAAATAGGAATCATCCCACATGCAAGAGTATGATTCGGTATAGGAGATTTATTATATTAGACTTAGAGGATAAGTTTTAAAGTTTCAGGGTGAGAGAGAGAGAGATTCTGAAGTTCTGAAAGAAGGCGACATACAGTGTTAAAACTGGCTTTCTAAGAAGTGGTTATTATTTATTAATTTTTAATGGCTAATTATAGTTTGTGGCGTGTAAGGGGTTGTTGGGCTTTAGCTTTTTGACAAGCTTACTCTTTGACTCTTATAATCTTATTAATTAGTCTGACAATTAGGACCCCATTTTTGGGCCCATGGCTGAATTATGTTGGTCTTGTGCTTCTATAAAATATATTGGATTGGATGGTACGTGGTGTTTGTGTATGTATGAATGTAAGACAGTAAGAGAAGAGAGGTTTCATTCTTTCAACGTTTGAAGTTTGGAAAAGGTTGAATTGAAACGTTAGGAGGAAGAGAAAGGGAAGGGTGGGTGATGGGCAAACGAGGTTATTGCTATTTCCAGCAAGCAAACTTTGACGAGTCTCAATGGTCCATACTCCATACAGATTAAATTAACTTGATCAGTTGTTTGACCATTTTGCCCTTGACATCCTTCACATGTTACTATGTCATGCTCCCACACCTAGTCAAATATACATACTTGGGTTGAAACATTAACAAGTGTAGCTATCTATTGACCGGAGGCTGTTGTCTTCCTGAGCAAAACTTCTTGGTCAGCCGGCCTTCGGCGGAATCTCAAGGGGGGATTAGGTCACCACTGGCACAAAATATCAATGAATCCCCTTGTTGGCTACCATTTATCAGTCTACAACTGATTCAGCTGGATTAGACAGAATAATAAAAAATTTAGACTAGAGGTTTTGTTTGGTAACTGTGGGCCTATAATTGTGGTACCAATAAGTAAGAAGGTACTGTTTCTCAGCCCTGAAATGATAAAATCTGGGGCTTACAAGAGTGAGAACATGGATTGGAGTATGAGAGTAGGTTACGTCCATATCCACTCCACTCCACCCCTCTCCCAAGACCCTGAACGGTCGGGACCAACAATGGAGAATGGCCGTCAGCAAGCATCATGGCCTGCCCATAATGTGACTCAGCAGTTCAGCCCATGCCAAAACAGTTTAGTTTAATTATCTGCTCGTTGCGTTCTGTCAAAGTGTATAAACAATGTTGGGTTCCTATGGCTGGCTATGCAGAGTGATTTCAGGTTTTGGTGCCCTGTTTGGGAGGGCTTTGACCCTGCAGCTTCTCCCCGTGCAAGATGGGCCCTATCTGGACAGTCAGACAGCTTACAAGTAATGTTTGGTGAAAACCCTAGAAAGCCCAACTAGCTTGCAGCCAAAATACATGGCTTTCCATTGGAACTTGTTTTAATTTAATGGCTTCTCCAAAGCAGCTCAGGAAACGAGACTTTTGTTTTATTGTATTATTTTCTTTTTCATATGATTTTGATGGTTATAAATTCCCTTGGTTCAACCCCATGACTCGAGTCTCTATTTACGCACTAAAGAACTTTAGCCGCAAATTGTTTCCATTTACTGTTTGCCACAAGTAAAATAGGTTCTAGAGACAAAAGAAAATGAAGAACAAAGAGTTATACAGAAGCGGCATCTTAAGACATTCCTGGGATTGATAGCGGCCTTCCGCTCTAACCAAGGTGAGGGTTGCTGTAGTGCACACTATGGCCTCGATCTAGGCACAGTTTCGGCAGCCGGCTTCCCTAGAGTGCGCCAACTGTGGCTTGCTGAGAGACAGAGAGTACTGAGTTCGTCCGCTTCCTCGGCAAGATTCAGTTGCCTGCATGGCTTTACGAGGTCCTCCAACATAAGCGCACACACACAGGGGTTAGGTTTACTTTAGTAGCGAGATGGAACAAAAGACAAGGACAAAGGGGTCTTTTACATTAGATGAGGTTTAAAACTCTAAACAAGTAGACAGTACAGACATGTAGAATAAAATAAAATTTACCGAAAGAAACCAAATACCAAACATCAATGCTTAGTTCTTATACTAAAATTAGGGTTTGTCTGTGGAAGTGGGAGAGGAAGAGGGGTGGACAGTGGACACACGGGGTCCCCACTTCTTCCTTTCCGTGAAGGGGGCGGATAAAGGGTGAGTAGCCCTACATGGACAAGCAGATTTTTTTTTAATCTTTTTTAATTAACTTGAAAAGAAAGAAAAGCAGGTGAGTACAAAGAAGGATAGAACTTGGAAGCTCTCGTTCTTAGACGATTTGTTGCACATGTGTTTTGTTGCAATTAGAATAGACATACTGTTAATGTGGCCCTACGGACTTTGTTACATCCACGGAGTCTTTATGGTTTCTCACTGTAGTGGGTTGCGGGAAATAATTATATAGATTATAGAGAGGTAATGGCTTTAGCTTTCCAATTTCCTTTCTTTCTTGCACTACAACTCTACAAGAAGCCGCTTTTCAGAGACAAAATAATTATATATTTTTAGAGGCGCTTTCTTTGAAAAATTATTGCCTCTAAAAGCCACAGAGGAAGTTGCCTTATTTGTTTCTAAAAACACCTGTCATTAATTCAATATAGATTATAGAGGTAGCTTTCTCTGTGAGTAAACTTCAGTGACGGTTATCTTTGTAGACCATCAAACATCCACTCTTTTTCCATTTAAAGCAGTGGAAAAAAAAAATGTAAGCGTCCACTCTTTTTCTCATTTATGGGGAGATGGTCCCAATCCACGATTGCAGTTATTGTAAAGATAGTGTGAGTACCAAATCCGAATTCTACACTAGTAGGGCTCATTTAGAAGGATTGAACCCAAGATTCAGAACCACCAAGAAGTCATCTCGTATAATTCAAGGTGGGGACATGACAGCAAATCAAAGGCTTTGATTTATTTGTTTCGGCACAGGGCTACTACATAGCAAATATGGGTTGAAAGCTGTTTCAGTTGTGTGCTCCTAATAAACTATACAAAGAGGCTGAAGTGGATAGCCCTTTATGTGACAGACTAACAACCAATTTGGGCTTTCCATATTTTTCACCAAAGATGGATTATAGGATGTCTATGTGGTTCGGCTGCTTTGAAGCGCTCTAAAATTGCATGCCTTTCGAACTATCCGAGTATGGGGTTTCTTCCAAGAGAGTAGATTTAAGCTCAATCCCAACTTGGACTTTGTTATTCAATCAATGAAATGAACAATGAAACCCACTTAAATAAAGTGGATCATCTGTTTTGAAGTAATTCAACAAAGCTTTATCCCAATAAAGGTTTTCATGGGCAAAAAATGAGATTTGAAAAGCTTTAAATTATCAGCACTTTGTGTTAAGACAGTTATCGGAAGGGGTGTGTTTGCATAGTATTCCTGAATTTTAGATTTAAGAACATGTTTTCATCTACTGATTCGATGTCCTGCTTTTTTATAAATCATAATAATAATATCTTTATTTCAAAATTTATTTCTGTTACAAAAATCCATCCTTTGGTGGTCACAAAATATGAATTGCTTTCTAATATGAGATGAACTTGGTTTTTCTTAAAAAAAAAACATAATAAAACAGTTTAAAGATGCATTTCAACTTATTTGGCAATGTAGAAATTTTAAAATACACATAAATTGTGAAAATAAGAGCTTTTATATTATAGAGCACCACCTAAGAGTAAATTAGTAAAATACAAATGAAAAATGAAAACAAAAGCAATCACATCATAGTGCACCACCTAAGAGTAAATTGGTAAAATACAAATGAAAAATGAAAACAAAAGCAATCATATGTATTATAGAGCACCACCTAAGAGTGAGATTAATAAAATATACAAATGAAAAATGAAAACAAAAGCAATCATATTATAGAGCACCACCTAAAAGTGAGATCGGTAAAATACTAATGAAAAATAAAACAAAAGCATTGAGCACCACCTGTGAGTGAGATTGAAAAAATACAAATGGAAAATGAAAACAAAAGCATCTATGTTATACATAGAGCACCATATAATGGTAGGGATTGGCACAAAAGGGTGTCTTAGCAGTCGGCACAATGCTAATACTGCAAGCAAAAGCTTTGTCTATGTTTGGAGCCATGGTCATTTTTTAAAAAAATTGTACCACGTCGGATCTACATAGGCGTTTCAATAAATGCCTATGTGTCACATTGTTTGGTTCAGCCGATTATAAAAAAATCGGGCATGTCTCGAAAATCAGGACTTCATCGATGCATCAGTGAACTGAAAAACAATATCAGGACTTCATCAATGTGTCTGTCAGCATATACATGAAAAACAATAATGAAAATCACTTTACCAAGCAGCATAGGTTTTTTTGTGAAAAATGAATTTTAGATGTATGAACATTTTTTCTTGAAAATCGATCCCAAAAAACGTTCACACTTCCAAACACCATATAAATTTCCATATTTCTAAAATATGTGTACAGAGTTTTTGTTTTCGTAGAATCCCGTTGCTACCTAAAACCCCCCAAACCCTAATTGCAACAGCATTTGATCCCAAGTCTACCTGTTGAATTCTATATAGGCTTGTCTAGAAGTAGGAACAAAAACTACTTACGGATGCTG